CATTATTTGCAGTCACATTAAGGTAATGGTGACTCTGGCAACTTGATTTTCCCACTCTAACACCCATTTTAAATTTCAGCTGGTGTGCACAGGTAGAAGGAAACATAACATAAAGATATATATGTATCTAGAAAATTTACCAATTCCTGTGACAGGCATAGATGCAAAGATAATGAGTGTTGATTTTTTTTTTCCCAGTCATTATACATGGATGCACACAACACAGCTACTACACTGTAACAGGCCTGAGTAATGAGAGACGCATTTCAGCAGACGGCTCGTAGGGTCATTACTGAAGCAATCCCTACATTTTCACAGATGATTTACGCTCTAAAGCAAACAGAAAGATTGCTTGTCAAATGGCAGCTATAATGTCCTATCGCCCTTGACATCATGGCTAAGAGCAAAGGCCACACCTGAATTCGCTGGAAAATCGTGTCGATGGGCTTTTGTTCACACCAGGACTGCTTTTCTAAGTCTGTAAGTACCCGGTCATACCGGTGCGATTTGGAAATTGAAACTGCACCTGAAATCGCATCTAATGAATGTGAATGTCAGTGTCTTAACATTTGCGATTTCCTGCAGCGCGATTTCTAAAGTAGTTCTTGTATTACTTTTTCTGCAGTTTTGTTGCGATTTCGCATAGTAAAATATCATGGAAATTGCACTGCAAATTGCAAGGAATCGTTGAAAATCTTCACATGTAGCAAATACCGTATTTTTTTGCTCATAAGACGCACCTAGGTTTTAGAGGAGGAAAACAAGAAAAAAAAATATTCTGAACCAATTCACACACAACCATCTCTAGGGTTTACAGAGAATGGTCCAAAAAAGAGAAAATATCTAGTGAGCGGCAGTTGTGTGGACAAAAATGCCTTGTTGGTGTCAGAGGGCAGAGGAGAATGGGCAGACTGGTTGCTGCGACATTCAGATGGTGGGGTCAGAATTTGTAAACAACATGAAAGCATAGATCCATCCTGCCTTGTATCAACGGATCAGGCTGATGGTGGTGGTGGAGGAGAATGGGCAGACTGGTTGCTGCGACATTCAGATGGTAGGGTCAGAATTTATAAACAACATGAAAGCATGGATTCATCCTGCCCTGTATCAATGGTTCGGGCTGGTGGTGGTGGTGCCGTGGTGTGGTGGATCCATCCTGCCTTGTATCAATGGCTCAGGCTGGTGGTGTCATGGTGTGGGTGCATCCATCCTGCCTTGTATCAATGGCTCAGGCTGGTAATGCCATGGTGTGGTGGATCTATCCTGCCTTGTATCAGTGGTTCAGGCTGGTGGTGGTGCCGTGGTGTGGTGGATCCATCCTGCCTTGTATCAGTGGTTCAGGCTGGTGGTGCCATGGTGTGGTGGATCCATCCTGCCTTGTATCAATGGTTCGGGCTGGTGGTGGTGGTGCCGTCGTGTGGTGGATCCATCCTGCCTTGTATCAATGGTTCAGGCTGGAGGTGGTGTAATGGTGTGGGAGAGCTTTACTTAGCACTAGCAAGGTGTAACTAATAATGTGACCGGTGAGTGTACAGTCCCGGCCAAAGGTTTTGAGAATGACACAAATATTCATTTTCACAAAGTCTGCTGCTTCGGTGTTTTTAGATCTTTTTGTCAGATGTTACTACGGTATACTGAAGTATATTTACAACCAAAGGCTTTTATGGACAATTACATGAAGTTTATGCAGAGTTAATATTTGCTGCATTGACCCTTCTTTTGCAAGACCTCTGCCATTCGCCCTGGCATGCTGTCAATCAACTTCTGGGCTACATCCTGACTGGTGGCAGCCCATTCTTGCATAATAAAGGCTTGGAATTTGTCAGAATTTGTGACGGGGGGGGGGGGGGGTGTTCACCCTCCTCTTGAGGATTGACCGCAAGTTCTCAATGGGATAAAGGTCTGGGGAGTTTCCTGGCCATGGACCCAAAGTTTTTGATGTTTTGTTCCCCAAACCACTTGGTTGTCACTTTTGCCTTATGGCAAGGTGCTCCATCATGCTGGAAAAGGCATTGTTCCTCATCAAACTCTTCTTGGATGGTTGGGAGAAGTTGCTCTTAGAGGATGTTTTTGTATCATTCTTTATTCATGTTCTTAGGCAAAATTGTAAGTAAGCCCACTCCCTTGGCTGAGAAGCAACCCCACACATGAATGGTCTCAGGATGCTTTACTGTTTGCATGACACAGGTGGAGCTCACCTTTTCTTCTCCGAACAAGGTTTTTTCTGGATGCCCCAAACAATCGGAAAGGGGATTCATTCAGAGAAAAAGGACTTTACCCCCGTCCTCAGCAGTCCAATCCCTGTACCTTTTGCAGAATATCAGTCTGTCCCTGAGGTTTTACCTGGAGAGAAGTGGCGTCTTAGCTGCCCTTCTTGACACCAGGCCATCCTCCAAAACTCTTAGTCTCACTGAGCGTGCAGATGTACTCACACCTGCCTGCTGCCATTCCTGAGCAAGCTCTGCACTGGTGGTGCCCCGATCCCACAGCTGAATCAACTTTAGAAGACAGTCCTAGTGGTTGCTGGACTTTCTTGGGGTCCTTGAAGCCTTATTCACAACCATTGAACCTCTCTCCTTGAAGATCCAATAAATTATTTACTTCAGGTACTTATATAGCGCTGTCAATTTACGCAGCGCTTTACACATATATATTGAACATTCACATCAGTCCCTAACCCTCAAGGGGCGTACAATCCAAGGTCCCTAACTTAGATTCATACATACACATATTAGGGCAAATTTAGACAGGATCCAATTAACCTACCAGCATGTCTTTGGAATGTCAAAGGAAACCAGAGCACCCGGAGGAAACCCATGCAAGCACAGGGAGAACATGCAAACTCCATGCAGGAGGCGCCATGGTCGGGAATTGAACCCATGACCCATTTACTGCAAGGCAGATATGCTAACCACTAAGCCACTGTTCTTGGGTTAACATACCATTTAAAGCCCACTTTTAACATGGTCAAAATGCCAACAAATGGATCCTCCAGCAGCTTATAAAAAGTTATTTTCGGCTATTCATCTGTCCCTAGCGCTGACCCAGACCTATTCAATGCTCACCATTCCACTGAGTTCCAAAGACCTCCTGCTTGCATACAGAAAAATCCCAGAAAGCACATTAAATAAACTTTCATCTCTCATTCTCCGTGCCCCCTTAACCCCTGCCTTCCTTTTTTCTTTCCTTCTATCTCAGGTGAAAACATTCTGCTTTTTTTGATTTTCCTATCCTCATGCTACAATACTTCTGACAGGCTACAATACCCCCATTGAATATGTTGTCAAAGCCTAGATTTTATACTTTAACCCACCAGACCTCCGACCTATAGTAGCATAACATGGGATGTCTAAGAATATCACCCCATGAATATTGAGGGATGTATATGGCCGATATATGAAGTGTGACAAATTCATTCCTGGAATGGACTGTACAAAATATTTTTGCTTACCTTTACACTAGCAGCTGTTGTCACCTTCAAAAGTAGTCCCCTTTTGAAGTGATGCCCTTTTCTAGATGACTAGATTTCTAGTCGCTGCACTGTATTTTTGTCTTGGATGTCCAGAATGTCATCAAATCTGTGTCCTTTTAGTCACCAGTCACACGATTTAAAAACTGCGCAATTTGTGTGCAATTTCAGGTGTTAATTCCTAAGACTTTATTGCGACTTGTGAAGATTTTCAATGATTTCTTGCAATTTGCAGTGCGATTTCCATTATATTCTATGTTAAAATCGCAACAAAACTGCAGAAAAAGTAATGCAAGAACTACTTTAGAAATCGTGCACAATCGCACATGTTAAGACACTGACATTCACATTCATTAGATGCGATTTCAATTCACAAATTGTACCTGAAATCACACCGGTATGACCGGGCACTTATAGCATTTCTTATGTTGGAAACAGTCAAAAGTGGCAGGGTGCTAAGTCAGGGGAATAAGGTGGTTGGTCAAGTTTAGGAATGGATTTCTGGGCCAGCAACTCACTAACACTTTTTTTTTTTTTCTTGGGAGAGTGCATGTGATCAGCACAGGGCCAATCAGCACTGTCCAGACAGAGATCAGGGGTCCTGCATCATCCTAGAGCAGAAAGAAAACTCCTCCTACAAGCTTTAACCAGTGCTCTACTGAACACGGATAGGAGTCACAAGACTAACTGCTGATGAGAAAGGGTATTTAGCAGTTTATATTTACTAAAATAATTGCATTTCCATTTTGTGTGTACTGTGGGGGACCGGATATAGTGAATGCAGGGTCCTGGGAGACCAGATATAGTGAATGCAGGGTCCGGGGAGAGCAGATATAGTGAATGCAGGGTCCGGGGAGACTGGATATATAGTGAATGCAGGGTCCGGGGAGACCAAATATAGTGAATGCAGGGTCCGGGGAGAGCAGATATAGTGAATGCAGGGTTCAGGAGAGCAGATATAGTGAATGCAGGGTCCGGGGGGACTGGATATAGTGAATGCAGGGTCCAGGGGGACTGGATATAGTGAATGCAGGGTCCGGGGGACTGGATATAGTGAATGCAGGGTCCGGGGGGAGCAGATATAGTGAATGCAGGGTCCGGGGGGGACTGGATATAGTGAAATGCAGGGTCCGGGGGGACCGGATATAGTGAATGCAGGGTCCGGGGGGGACCAGATATAGTGAATGCAGGGTCCGGGGGGAGCAGATATAGTGAATGCAGGGGTCCGGGGGGAGAGCAGATATAGTGAATGCGGGTCCGGGGGAGACAGATATAGTGAATGCAGGGTCCGGGGGGGAGACTGGATATAGTGAAAGGCAGGGTCCAGGGGGGGGAGCAGATATAGTGAATGCAAGGGTCCGGGGTGAGACCCGGGGAGAGCAGATATAGTGAATGCAGGGTCCTGGGGGACTGATATAGTGAATGCAGGGTCCGGGGAGAGCAGATATAGTGAATGCAGGGTCCGGGGAGAGCGGATATAGTGAATGCGGGGTCCGGGGAGAGCGTGAATGCAGGGTCCGGGGAGACCGGATATAGTGAATGCAGGGTCCGGGGAGAGCGATATAGTGAATGCGGGGTCCGGGGAGAGCGGATATAGTGAATGCGGGGTCCGGGGAGAGATATAGGATATAGTGAATGCGCAGGGTCCGGGAGAGCGGATATAGTGAATGTCCGGGGAGACCAGGTGAATGCAGGGACCGGGGAGACGGATATAGTGAATGCGGATAATATAGTGAATGCGGGTCCGGGGAGAGCGGATATAGTGAATGCGGGGTCCGGGGAGAGCGGATATAGTGAATGCGGGGTCCGGGGAGAGCGGATATAGTGAATGCGGGTCCGGGGAGAGCGGATATAGTGAATGCGGGGTCCGGGGAGAGCGGGATATAGTGAATGCGGGGTCCGGGGAGAGCGGATATAGTGAATGCGGGGTCCGGGGAGAGCGGATATAAGTGAATGCAGGGTCCTTTAGTAACACTTTAAAGAAACAAAAAAGTGATTTCAAATAAAAATAATGCAAAATAAACAATTGTTGGGCACATTGGGGGTTATTTAATAAAACCAGAGAGTGCAAAATCTAGTGCAGCTCTGCATAGAAACCAATCAGCTGCCAGGTTTTATTGTCAAAGCTTAATTGAACAAACTGATGTTAGAAGCTGATTGGCCGCCATGCACAGCTGCACCAGATTCTGAATGCACCAGCTTTAGTAAATCTACCCACCTATGTATAAAACAAAAAAGACACAAACATCAGTGTTAACGTGGTCATGATTGCCAAGGATGCCTACATATCAAACACAGTTGTTGGGTTTTTCATTTTTATTTGTTTGTTTTCTAAGGTGCAGAATGGATTATATGTGTGTCGCAGCCGTGCGCACAATCTGACACGCAGAAAACACGAGCTGGGTGAGCCAACTGAAAGTGTCTTATGATTAATGGCCCTTTTTAAATTGCAATTATGTCATTCAACAGAACCCATGAACATTAATTCACAATTTGCCGAGTGAATAATTGAATAATTACCGGCTCGCAGAATACAGTCCACTCTGAGTGGTGGAAAAAAAAAGAAAAAAACATAATAAAACAAAGAAAAATGTTAAAATTTTTTGCAGTGAAGAAAAAAAAAAAAAGGAAAAAAGAAAAAAGGGTGAAAATTGCCTGCTGGTTTTCTCTGCTTCGTTACTCGCTGATATTTTACACACGACTGCGACACATGAGAGGACACCGCTCCACTGTGAGCAAATGGCGGAATAACATGAGACGGAGTAAAATAAACAGCGTGGATTAAACTGCAGAAAACATGCCTTGCGGCTACGGACTGGTAATCTGGCATTTGCCAGGAAGGCTGGCTTGTTGTCATAGAAACCTGTCATGAATGAAATATGGGGGGTGCCACTGCTGACCTTCTACTGATAATGCCAGTGACTTGGCTGTCATGTTGGTCCGCTGACTTTAAAGAGTCAATGAGCCAGAAACAAGCATGCAGCAAGAGAAGGCAAAGTGCCCAAACTGTACACTTTTTCCAAGCAAGCTGAGTCAGGAATTGCTGGAACCAAAGTATTTCCATTACAGCCAGGCAACTAGAATTTTCAGAAAGCAGTTTGCAAAAGCAGGCCATATGTGTCTCTCATGAATGTAATTACTGTAACTGTAATGAGAGAAAGAAAGAAGCTGCCATTGGTGAACTATAAGCCTCTTTCACACGGGCGTTCCGTATGTCCGCTTTTCATCTCTCCGTTTACAGCTGAAAAAAAGACACCCGTCTATTTCTATGGACTAGCGGATGAAAACGGATTATCATGATAATGTTCACATCTGTTAACATCCGTGTTTTTGAATGGAAGAAAACCCTATTTTTCTTCTGTTAAAAAAAAATGGAACAGATGACAAATGGATGTAAACGTACAAAAAACAGATGAAAAACTGACGTACACAGACAAAAACAGATGTAAACAGATGAAAAAAAAAACAGATGTAAACTGATGAAAAACTGATGTAAACTGATGAAAAACAAAACAGATGTAAACAGATGAAAAACTGATGTAAACAGATGTAAAAAAAAACTGATGTAAACTGATGTAAATGAAAAACTGATGTAAACTGATGAAAAACAAAACAAATGAAAAACTGATGTGAACTGATTTTTTTCTTGAAAAAAATAAGACTGAACTGATGGAAAAAATGGAATGCCAGTGTGAAAGGGACCATAGGGTTCAGAAAAACTTGTTTCTGCAATATTTACTTGCTGCATGCCTGTTCCAGGTCTCTGACTTGGAAGTATTGAAACGGTTTTCAGGTAATCCTCCTTCAAAACAAATATATATATATATATATATATATATATATATATACATACATACACACACACATATATATGTGGTAAGTGGTATTATAACAAAGTGGAAGCGTCTGGGAACGACAGCAGCTCAACAGTGCGTAGAGAGCTTCATGGAATGGGTTTCCATGGCCGAGCATCCAAGCCTTACATCACCAAGTGCAATGCAAAGCGTCGGATGCCGTGGTGTAAAGCATGTCGCCACTGGACTCTGGAGTGGAGACATGTTCTCTGGAGTGATGAATCACACATCTCTGTTTGGCAATCCAATGGACGTGTCTGGGTTTGGCGGTTGCCAGAAGAACAGTACTTGCCTGACTGCATTGTGCCAAGTGTAAAGTTTGGTGGAGGGGGGATTATGGTGTGGGATTGTTTTTCAGGGGTTGGGCTTGGCCCCCTAGTTCCAGTGAAGGGAACTCTTAAGGCGTAAGTATACCAAGACATTTTGGACAATTTCATGTTCCCAACTTTGTGGGAAGAGTTTGGGGATGGCCCCTTCCTGTTCCAACATGACTGCCCACCAGTGCACAAAGCAAGGTCCATAAAGACATGGAGGATCCAGTTTGGGGTGGAGGAACTTGACTGGCCTGCACAGAGTCCTGACCTCAACCCCATAGAACACCTTTGGGATGAATTAGAGCGGAGACTGTGAGCCAGGCCTCCTCCCCCGACATCAGTGCCCGACCTGACAAATGTGCTTCTGGAAGAATGGTCCAATCTTCCCATAGACACCCTCCTAAACCTTGTGGACGGCCTTCCCAGAAGAGTTGAAGCTGTTATAGCTGCAAAGGGCGGGGCCAACTCAATTAAGGTTCATGTGCATGTAAAGGCAGGCGTCCCAATACTTTTGGCCCTCCCTCCTAGATTGTAAGCTCCCAGGATCAGGGCCCTCCTTTCCCTCTTGTATTGAACTGTTTTGTTGCTGTATTGTCTCCCGTTATATTGTAAAGCGCTGAGCAAACTGTTGGCGCCATAAATCCTGTATAAGAATAATATAGTGTGTATATATATATATATATATATATATTGGCAGAGCGTCCCATAGAAACCCAGGGAAAGTCCTGTTCAGGGTTTATAGGGATCTCTGATGTGAGGTCCAGTGCAGGGTTTACCTGTGGAAACTAACAAGCTGTGTGCGTTGTGGCTGACAAGCGGTAGGCTTGATCAGTCTGATAGGACCTGCAGTAGTGTGTAGTGAGAGCCGGGACACGACTAGGTTTTTTTGATTGATATATTCCTGCCCTGTTTATTTTGGTTAAACACTGTGCAGCACTTTATATATAGTTTTTGTAAATTGCACTAATAAACACCTTCACTGTCTGCCACTAATCTCACTGGAATCTTACTGTATATGAGAACTGTAAATGTAACACTGTATCCTTGGTGTATACGTTTTTTGTTCTAAGGATTTACTTTGTGTTTATTTGTGATAGCTTTGACTATGTGTTGCTAGTTAATTGATATATATGTATAAATTGAACATACTGAGCAGGACGTTTTGGACTGTTGTGACTTTTCTGGATATACACACACACACATAGCTGTGAACAGATGGGAAGATGCCTTCGTAAAAGGTAAACTAAGGCATATTGTGGTGTATTCTCTCCAAAATGTCTATTACTCTGTAGCTGTGGCCAGCACAGGTCCTCTACGTTACACGAGGCTCTACTAAACTTAATTCAGTATTTCATTTATCTTAAAGCATTTGTAAAGACAGTTTTTTTTTCACCTTACTGCATTCTATACAGTAACGTAAAAAACCTTCAGCATGCTTCCAATCCCCCGCCCCCCTAAATGATTGCTTGAGCCCAATCTCGATCCCGCAATGTGCATGAGAGCCGAGGCTCTCTCACTCCTCATTGGCTCAGATACAGCAGCTGGAGCCAATACAGAGCCAGTGAGGAGGAAGCGGGGGCATCTATGTATTTTTATGGACCCTCAGAGTAGGGCTTGGGAGCAAGCACGCACGGGTGCCCTCACAGCAAGTGGCTTGCTATGGGGGTACTCAGTAGGGGGGAGGAGCCAAGAGCCCCAATGGGGGACCCAAGAAGAGGAGCATCAGGGCTGCTCTTTGCAAAACCATTGCACAGAGCAGGTAAGTATGACATGTTTGTTATTTTAATACAGAAAAAAAATTAGCCTTTAATATTACTTTAAGTTTTGCTTAACCCTTTTTCATCAAGAGTATGCAAATATGTGACCTCTCGGCAGGTGGGCTTTGATGCTGAGAGGCCGCACATTGGCATACCCAAATGTAAATAAACCTGTGCTGAGAGCGCGTGCTCTCAGCACAGTTACCAGCGCCTAACGTAAGTAGCGATCAAGAGCTTTCTGATCATGTGACCACTGTGACAGCCAATCACGGCGGTCACTTGATCACAAACCCTGCCTCTCGGCATCAGAAACCTCCTATAGGGTCGGGAAGTGTGGTGTTAAGGTATTAAAATACAACTAAAGGCTCCTGTATGACAGTCTATACCAGCGGTGGGCAAACTTTTTGACTTGAGGGCCGCAATGAATTCATATTTTGGACCCGGGGGCCGGACCAAGAGTAGATGAATGATGTGTATGTGTCATCCATAGTAAGTATAGTAATATTCCCCCATAGTAAGCATAGTAATTAATCCCCCATATAGTAATTCATCCCCTATAGTAATTCATCCCCCATATAGTAATTCATCCCCCATATAGTAATTCATTCCCCATATTAATTCATCCCCCATACTAATTCATCCCTCATATAGTATTTCATCCCCCACAGTACTATTCCCCCCCAAGTAGTAAGCCAAGTCCCCCCTGTGTCAATTCACTTACCTTTGCTCCGCGCGTTCCTCTCGCCGTGTTCCCACACCATTCCGGTCTTCAGGGCGGACTGTGAGAGGAGCCTAGCTCCCCTCACGTTCGTCACGCTGCCCCGCCTACACACATCCTGACAGCCAATGTATCACGCTCCGCAGTCCGGATTAAAAGGTCCGCCGGGCCGTATACGGCCCGCGGGCCGTAGTTTGCCCATTGCTGGTCTATACCAAACTTTTTTTAACAAAAAGGCCAGTTTATTGTGTTTCAGACTTTGGAAGGGTCAGGCTATGGCCAGTGGGAGTAGAAATACCCCACCATTCGTGGGAGTAAAC